GGGCCTCATGCATGCAAGGCAAGCTCACTACCACTGAGCCACCTTCCTACCCCTAAAGTTTCTTAATATGAGCTTTTATTTTCAAAATTTCTATCTAGTCTCTTTTAAAATACAAAAGGATTGCTAAATATGCAAGCCTAAAACATTAACTACTACCACAAATACGTGTTTCTTTTATATACATACTATAAACAGATGTTCCCAATGGAAAAAGGAGACTGGGAAGGAAAAGGAAAACTTCTTGTGATTCCAAATATTTCTGTAGTGTGTGAATTTTTATATAAGTGTGTATACTACACCATTTTACAATAAAACATTTAACTAGAAAAGGTTGGGTGCTGGTGGCTCACACTTGTAATCCTTGCTACTCAGGAGACTGAGATCCAAGGATTGCAGTTTGAAGTCAGCCCAGGCAGGAAAACTCATGAGAATGTTATTGACAATTTTTTATCCACCAAAAAGCCAGAATTAGAGGTCTGGCTCAAATAACAGAACACCAGTCCTAAAGAAAAAGCTAAAAATAACTCACCCACCAGACCGAGTTTAAGCCCCAGTTCTAGCACCAAAAAACAAAGGTTAAAATATATACACACACACACACACACATATATACACATATGTAAAGGTTAATAAAGACTGCCTAACTAGTAAAGACAAGGATTTTTTTTCTTTTACTGATGGTACCAGAGTTGAACTTAGTGCTTTCTAGGTAAGCACTCTAGTCAAACAAGGGTAAACTTTTGCCCTCCTCTGTAAAGTACACTGTGGTCTACTTTTTAACAATTATATGTAACCAATATGATTAAATCATTTTTTAAATTTTCTCATTCCTATAATTTTTTTCTTCTCTCATCATTCCAAAAGCACTTAAATTGTTGTAACTTCCTGTTTAGGTTGTCCCTATAATAGTCTGACTGCCACCACAAAAGCCTTTCAGAACTTTTTATTTATTTATTTGTCATTCTTGGGGCTTAAACTCAGGACCTGGGCACTGTCCCTGAGCTCTTTTGCTCAAGGCTAGAGCACTAGCTTTTTTTTTTTTTTTGTCAGTCGTGGGGCTTGAATTGTGGGCTTGGGTGCTGTCCCTGTGCTCTTCAGCTCAAGGCGAGCGCTCTACCGCTAGACCCACAGCACCACTTCCGGTTTTCTAGTGGTTTGTTGGAGATAAGAGTCTCACGAACTTTCCTGCCCGGGCTGACTTGGAACCACGATCCTCAGATCTCAGCCTCCCAAGTAGCTAGGATTACAGGCGTGAGCCACCGGCACCCAGCAGCTCTAGCTCTTTGAGCCACAGCTCCACTTCCAATTTTCTAGAAGTACTAGCACCTGGAAAAAGTGGGTTTTTTTGTTTTATTTGTTTCTTTTTTGGCCAGTCGTGGGGAATGAACTCTAGGCCTGGACGCTGTCCCTGAGCTCTTCAGCTCAAGGCTAGTGCTCTACCACTTGAGCCACAGTGCCACTTCTGGCCTTTTCTGTGTATGTGGTGCTGAGGAACTGAATCCAGGGCCTCATGTATCCAAGGCAAGCGCTCTACCACTGAGCCACCTTCCCAGCCCCCAGTGGTTATCTTTTAAGAGGCAAATAACCTAAGAGAATTTAGAGGAAGCAAAGGTGGGCAGAAAAGCAAAAAAAGATTAGAAGTATTAGAATATTTCCCTCCCCCCACCTAAGGAATCAGCACAGTTGAAGCCAGGTGCTACTTGTTTATGCCTGTAATCCTAGCTATTGAGGAGGTTGAAATCTGAAGATCACAGTTGGGCAGGAAAATCTATGAGACTCATCTCCAATGAACTTCCAGAAAGTCAAAAGTAGAGCTGTGGCTCAAGTGGTTAGAGCACTCAGGGACAATGCCCAGGCTTTGAGTTCAAGCCTTATGATTGGCACCAAAAAAAGTTGAAGAAAACGAAGAACATAATCTGTTTCTTATAAGCAAGAAAGTCTATGTCATAATAAATTTATTAACTAAGAGATAAATAAGACATACCCAATAGGTATTTTCAAGATGGCAAAATGAAATATCAACATAAAAATAATTTACCATTTTGAATCTTCCATATCTGGTGTATATTGCACACTTACTGTCCATCTTAACTCAGACTAGTCCTATTTTCAAGTGTTTAATGGCTCATAGAGCCAAATACCCTCTTCTGTGTCAGAGACAGAATAGCTCTGGTCACAGCAGCTAAAGGCAGAGAGTATCTAGTAGTCCATGGGGTACCTTATACCATGGCAGGAGGACAAT